AGAAACTGCTCCTTAGGTGGTCTTTCATTTCACATTGCTTTCATACTAGTGGAAGGGACTGCTTTTGATATAGCAGTGTTATATTTTTATCATGCTAAATATACCTGTTAGAGTTATTGCCAAATAAATAGAAAAGCCTTTCAGAAGAATTTATTCTCCTGGATTTTGTAATAATATTCTCATTCCACAATTTAAGCTACCGTGGTTCTGGAAGCAAAAATAAGTGAAATTGATTCTAGATACTTCACTTTCAGCCTAAAATTGAAAATATTGATCAACACAAATTTAAATAGTCAATTTGGTGATGCTTTCTTGATTATTTAGAATTCAAACTTGGCAAATAGGTACGTCATATATCTTCCACAAAGTACGTAATGTAAGTTGGCCTTTCTGTTTCTGTGGCATGGCACCCACACTTGCCTCAAACTTTGCTCTTCCCTCTGCACCAATGTCCTTCCCCCACTCCTTCAGCTTTTACTCATCTCAAGGAGAACTACCTGAAGAAACCTCCCAGCAGGCTGCTGTTTGCTGTTACCCTGTGTCCGTAGTTACATCATAGCACTCCGCACCTGGAGCTGCTGTGCTTGTTTATTATCTTCAGCCCAGTAGAATATAAGTTCAGTTGCAACAAGTGCTGTCTTCCCAGCACTGCAGCAGAGATGTCCTCACACAGCAGGCATGAGCCAGTGTCCTGTGCCACCATTTTAGAAAGTGCCTTAGATGAGGAGGGACCCTCCGTCCTGAGTGTCCAGGTGAAATGTTCAGATTCGGGTTCTCAGATGGAGATGTCAGTACAGCATACACAGCACTACATTTTTCAGAGTGCCTCAGAAGATGCTGGAACCTTCTTCTTGAGTCCACACTGAAATGTCTTAGGTAAAGACTGACATGACAAGATTTATCTAGCACCAAATCCATCAAGACAGGTCTTTGCTATTGTAGTTTCACACCATGTTGAAATAAGCCTCCTAAAACATTCTTACTTCAGTGAACTAACCATATTTGGGGTTTTTTTTCTTTTGTTTTGTAACTTTGGGGAGGGGTTGAGACAGATTCTCCCTGTAGCCCCAGCTGGCCTGAAACTCGCTATGTAGACAGGCTGTTCTTGATCTCACAGAGATCTGCCTACCCCGACCTCTGGAGTGCTGGGATTAAAGGAGTGCTGCACCATGCCCAGTTCTGGTTCCTAACTTTTTGATAATAAGACTATGTGAAGATTAAATTTAATTGTGTTAAATGTTTCATAACAAGTTTTGAGCTTTCCTGTAAAATTATAGTCACACGACAAAGGCCTACTTCTTTTCATGATATAAGTCCAGCATATCCCTAGAAACTAAAACCTGGGCCAGACCTAATAAGAAAAGCAAATTCTAGTCCTGTTCTCATGAACCAAAGTTCAGAAACACTTAACCAGAAAGAGCAAATCAATCCCTGTATAAAATGTGGGATGTAACCAAGAAACATGAATGAGCTCCAGGGGTGAGAAGTCAGGCAGTGCAGTCATCATGTTGACACAGTAGCAAAGTGAAAGAGGCACCAGGTAGCCTTATTTTTGTTTGCTGGCTTTTGGTTGTTTGAGACAGGTAACCCAGACTGACCTTGAACTCCTGACCCTCCTGCCTCCACCCCCAAGTGCTGCAGTTATGGGTGGGACCCTGAAAGGTGACAGTCTACTCTTTGTGCTCACTTTTCAGTAAAGACACCAACTTTTTTTGCGGGGGAGGGGTCTTTTTGAGACAGAGTCTCCCTGTAGCCCCAACTGTCCTGGAACTTGCTATGTAGCTATGTAGACTAGGCTGGCTTCAAACTCACAGAGATCCACCTGCCTCTGCCCCTCAAGTGCTGGGATTAAAGGCATGCACCATTACACCTGGCTGAAATTTTTTGTTTTAATAAATGGCACTAGAACAACTGGATCGGTATGAAAAGAAAATTAGCCACAAAAAAAATAGTTAAATCTCTGGGTTTGAAAAAAAAAAAAAAAAAAAAAAAAAGATGGAGAGATTGCGTAGCAGTTAAGCACACCAGCTGTTCTTGTAGAAGACTGGGGTTCGAATCCCAGCACTCACATGGCAGCTAACTGTCCATAACTTAAGTTCCTGGGGATCAGATGCCTTCTTCTGTACTCTGAGGGCACTGAACAACATGGATGCACTTACACACATCAGGCATAACACTCATACACATAAAATAAAAATAAATATTGAGGCTAAAGAGACGGCTCAGCGGTTAAGAGCACTGATTGCTCTTGCAGAGGACCTGGGTTTGATTCCCAGCACCCACATGGTGGCTACAAACCATCCTTAACTCCAGTTCTAGGGGAATCTGACTCCCTCTTCTGACCTCCTCAGGCATACATGACATGGGTGCACTTACACTCATTACATGCAGGCAATACGCTCATACACATAAAATAAAAATAATAAATAAAATATTTTAATAAATAAATACATAAATAATTTTTTAAGGCAGAATCTTAATGTGTTTTGGTTTGGTCTGTTTTTTGTGTTTTTGTTTGCTGTTTGAGGGATGCAATCCCTGGGGCCTCCAACATGCTAGATAATGTTCTACCACTGAACTGTATCCCCAGCCCAAGATAGTTTGTTGGGGGCACTGAAGGTAGAATCCATAAAAGATAAGAGTGATAACTTGATCTTTACCACAGTGAAAAGTGCTGGAAGACCCCATGAAGAAAATGAATAGAGCCATGCATGTTGATGCATATCTATGCTACTAATTCAAGGGAAGCTGAGGCAAGAAGACCTCAAGTTCAAGGCCAGCCTGGGCTACATAGTGAGACTACGAATAAATAAAATACAAATTGGGATAGAATCTTTTCCAAATCCATCCTCAACAATAGAATTGTATCTATAACATATAAAAAACTTTAACAGCTTAGTGATTTTAAAAATGTAACTATAATAGACACTTTACAAGAAAAAAAAAAAGTACACCAATGAGTGATAAGCTCTTGAAAACATATTCCACATATGTCATTGAGGGAAATGTCAGTTAAAGCCATAGTGATCTGTGCCACACTCCGAGAGAATGGTGGAATGAGCTCCATCACAGCAAATGCCAGGAAGGGTGTGAAGGAACTGCAGTTCACTTAGGAAAGGGTTTGGTAGTCTTATAAAACTATACAGTCCAGTTAGCCCTCTGCACATTAAACCTGTGTCCATATACTTAAGTTCCACAGAAATGCCTCAAAGTAGTCAAAGCGTGGATACCAGAAACATCTATCATTAGGTAAATGAGTATGTTAAATAGTGGTGTAATCCCACAGTGTAACACAGCCCAGCAATGAACAGGAATAGGTCACAGGGATGAATGTCAGGCCATCATGCTGAATACAAAACTAAACTAGGTGAAACTAATTTAAATGGAATCAGAAGTGCCTCCATGAGAACACAGGAAGAACAGATTAACTACAGAGAGGAAAACTCAAACCTAGATGGCTAAGATTTGTACATTTTAATGTATGTAATTTTTTTCTTTTTTAATATTATTTTTTATTTTATGTGTATGAGTGTATTGCCTGCATGTATGTGAATGTGCCCATGTCTTGCAATGCCACGGAGGTCAGAAGAGGGCTTTGGATTCCCCTGAAACTGGAGTCAAGGACGGTTCGTAGCCGCCATGTGGGTGCTGGGACTCGAACCCAGGTCCTCTGCAAGAGCAGTCAGTGCTCCTAACCACTAAGCCATCTCTCCAGCCCCAGTGTAGTTTTTTTCTAAGAGCTGTAAATAATAATTGAATGGGAAACACCAGGTAGACATGTAGATGAGCCAAACATGTACTGCTCATGCCTGAGGCTGAGCACTTATGGGTTGACTATTATAGAATGCTGTTCACTTGGCTTAATTTTTTACATGATGAAACTTTTAAAAGTAGTGAAGATGGTGAGCAAAAAGAGAAATTTAAAAATTGAGTATTTAACCTGACACTATACCATTGGGTTTTTAACATCAGACATAAAAGGTAAAACTATTGTAAAGCTTTTCAGCTTTTTTCCCTAAACCAGGTCAGGAGGGGGCATTAAACACTGAATGATGGATTTAGAGAATTGAAGACAAACTATTTGCCTAAAACAAACATAAATGAAGAACTAAATTTGAAACTGATAACTGAGAACTTAATTGTAGCAGTTTGTAAATTACTTTTAAAAAGTAGTGAAGATTTGTTTCCTGATTGATTTAACCTACAGTATGGGATCTTGTATACATCTCACATCTCGTTTTTTAAATCCTGTTGCTGTTGTTGTTGTTGTTGTTGTTGTTGTTGTTGTTGTTTAATTTGCTTTCCATATGAAGACTGGTACAAGTGACTCTAAAAGGTAGGTAGGTTATCTAATATGCTCAGTTTCGAGAAACGATTGACAGTTTTAGAATTAACAAAATGTCTTTATTTTAATGATTTACAAATAAAAGGAAAAACATATACAGAATAAGAATAGCTCTGTGCTCCCTACATATTTGAAAATGTGACTATAATATATTAATGATATAAAAAATTATAAATAAAAATTCTCTTGAATGGGGAGTACAAGGTGAGTTGGGCATGGTGGCACACACCTTTAATCCCAGCACTCAGGAGGCAGAGGCAGGCAGATCTCTCTGAGTTCGAGGCCAGCCTGGTCTACATAGTGAGTTCCAGGACAGCTGGGTCTGCAGGGAGACCCTGTCTCAAAAAGACAAAAAAAAAAAAAGAAAAGGGTACAAGGTAAAATATGAACCATTCTATAGACTGCTGCCTTAGAACTTGTATTTGTTAGATGAGCTATTTTGGGGAGAAAATTGTAATGTTAGTATTTTTGTTGTCTGTTTTCTCCTTTGATTCTTGCAGTCTAATAAGAAAGGATAATGGGACTTACAATGCAGAAAGTACTTAATTTGTAACAAATAGCTAGTGAATATTTTATAATAACAGGTTAGTGTCTGTTTTAGGTTATTTTGAACCCTAGTAGACAGCCTTGTAAGCTCATGTTACAATCTTTTCAGCTGCAGAAGATCATAAGTAAACAAGATGACTTCAAGACAGTGAAAACTAATGAACCAGAATACCAGGTATGTACACTAAATATTTTAAACAGGTGATGTTGGATAACAACTGTTCTCTTCTGTTTGTTCAAATATATATTCCCAGTTCATTAGTGGGATTTATGAATCACTTAGCATTTTAAATATGTATGCTATACACAAAAAGGTGTACAAGTATATGTAGATGTTCACAATTGTCCCTGTCCCCCTGAGCAAGGAGTGTTGTTTCGTATCTATTCTTCCAGAGGTAGTCTGTCTATGCATCTAGAGGTATGTATGTGTATAAATTAACAAGTACATTTATATATTGGGAGGTTGTTTCTTCCATTTTTCATCTTTTGTTTTTCTTGCAGACAAGGTCTCAGTCTGTAGACCAGGCTTGCCTCGATCTTGCAGCAATCCTCCTGCCTCAGCCTCGCTAGAGAAAGGCCTGTGTGTCCTACAGCATGAGCGTTGGGGTCGGAGGACATCAGTCCTCTCCTTCTACCTTGTTTGAGACTGTGTCTCCTGTTGTTTTGTCACTAAGCATCTAGGAGGTCTCATGTCTCTACCTCCCACCTCACCATAGGAACACTTAATACAGGCACGTGCTACTACATCTGGATGTACGTGGGTTCTATGGATCTGAACTTCAATTGTTATACTTGTATGCAAGTACTTTATACACTTGGCCATCTCCCAAGCCCCATAACTCATTCTTTTTATGGTTCCCAAGTGCTTTTTTATATAGCTGTACTGTTTATGCAGGCTTCCCCTTTTGGAAAGCATTTAACATGTACCTATCTTCTCATAGTTCAGAAATGCCATAATCCTAAGATTACACCGTTTTATGCATATGAAATATCTTAGGAGTAAATTCTCTGAAATTTCATTGCTGGATCAAATAGCATGGCTGTTGCTAAGGTCATTGACAGACTTAGATAAATATTGACTAATATCTTTTATGGAACATAAACACTATTAATAACAATAAACACAATAACAATTAAAGGCTGTAGAATGCTCAGTGGTTAAAGCACTTTCACCCAAGCATGAGAACAGAGTTCAGATACTCAGAACCCATGTAGATGCTGGATGGGTATAGTGGCCTGCCTGTAATTCAAGTGCTCTAAATGCAGAGAGGGATCTCTGGCTGCCAATTTTGTGAGCTCGGGGTCTGTGCCTCAGTGAATAAGATGGAGAGTGATCAAGGAAGACTTCCAGTATCAACCCAGGACCTTTTCTATACATACACCAACAAATACATGTGCACCCCCACATATTAACATACACACACACACACACACACACACACACACACACACCACATACACGTGAGAAAAATAATGATGGTGATAATAATTAAGAGTTTCCTTTGTAGGAATATATCATTTGGTTAGATTTAGGACTAATAATCCTCTTTTTTTTTGTTCTTTTGAGAGAAAGCACGTAAAGTAACAAGCAGATATGTATGAATGAAAAAGTACTTGAAACAGACATGAAAACTTGGAAATACCTGCCTGCTTAGAAACAAAGTATATTTAAATTGATAAAACAGTGATGCACGCCTGTAATCCTAGCTCTGAGGGAGGAAAATAGTGACTTCAAAGCCAGATGTAGTGGTGCAGTTCGAGAATTTAGGAGGTCAAGGTCATCCTCGGCTGCATAGCACATTCTGGACTACATGAGAGAAAGTTAAAATAGACTTAGAAACAATGTCAATGACTTTTAAACAGTGATTTTAAAATAATTATGAGATTAAACTGCAGTTTTATTTAGTTTTATATTCAGAGCACTACTTAAATCTAAATCTAATTTTAAAAAAAGTTACTATCCATTCTATCATTTGTGCTTTGACATTTGGTCTAGTATTTGAAAAATAACAAAATTAGAAACTATAATTCTTAAGGAAATGTAGAAATGTAACATTATATATAGAATGCATAGATAGCTACAGACCTCAAAAATTAACAATGATGATATTTTATTAAGTATAATGTTATTTCAGATTATTAGGACAAGCATAAGAGTCAGCTGCTATTAAATATAATATGGGGCCTGGAGAGATGGCTACTGTTAAGAGCACTGGCTGTTCTTCAGAGGACCCAGGTTTTGTTCCCAGCACCCACATGGCAGCTAACAACTGTCTGAAACTCCAGTTCCAGGGGATCCGATGCCTTCTTCTGTCCTCCACAGGCATTGCATAACATGAGTGCATTTATATACATGCAGGCAAAACATTCATACACATAAAATAAATCATTTTTTAAATATTAAATATAATATAATATAATGGTTTTTGGAGCAAAAATTTTGGAACATTTGGCTATCTAGTTGATAGTGCCCTTTCATTATACCATAATCTTGGGGTAGATATCCCTAACTTAATTAGATGTGTAGAACCTTGGCACTGTGGAAGGTTGAATCCAAAAATAAAAATCACTGGTTCACAACCACCCTAAGCAGAAAAGAGAATCACTGGTTCACAAACAGTGGTGTCAATGTGGGGGTTAGGAAAATATAGACCTTATCACAAGGAATTGGGAGGGGGTCACATTTGCTGAAAAGAGGGCTCTCTGCAATCTCATTTCTTTAGGTTAGGCAGCCCCTGTTTTAAACAGGCAGGGTATAGATAGACATATGTCCATGGAAATGACCAGGGTCAGATAAATAATCCTAACTGAACTGCCACTGTCTACAGGAGAGCCAACAAGATAGCGTTAGGAGCAGAAGGAGGGTTCGATCTTGTATGGGCAGCCATGTGAAGAGCATTAGAAGAAGGCTATTTACATGCACCAGGTGTGGTGATGCATGCCTGTAATCTCAGATATATTGAATGAGAGTGGAGAGGGTGGGCACCTTTGACTCTTAACAGATTTTAGAAGAAATACTGTTTTCCCCCATTTAGTATAATGTTGGCTATAGGTTTGTCATGTGTAGCATTTATGCTCCTTCAATTCTAGTTTCTTCAAGACTTTTATCACAACCAGGTATGGTGGCACACGCCTGTAGTCCCAGCACTTGGGAGGCAGAGGCAGGAGGATCTCTGTGAGTTCAAGGCCAGCCTGGTCTACATAGTGAGTTCCAGGCCAGCTGGGGCTACAGGGAGACCCTGTCAAAAAAGACCAAAAGAAAAAAAAAGACTTTTATCACAAAGGTGTTAAACTTTGTCAGACACTTCTTCTATATCCATTGTGATGATCATTTGATTTCTGTCCTTAAGTTTTTTGATGTGCTATATTACATTTATTGATTTGCACATATTAAACCACCTTTGCATCCATGGACTAAAACCAACTTGATCATAGTGTTTATCTTAATATGTTCTTGAATTCAGTTTTCATAAATTCTGTATCATCAGGAAAGTTAGTATATGGTTTTGTCATTGCTGTCTTTATCTGGTTTTTGAATCAGGGTAATACTGGCTTTGTAGAATGAGTTTGGGTATGTTCTTCCATCTCTACTTTATTAAACAGTGAGGACTAGTAGCACTAACTCTTTAAGCCTGGTGACCCTCTCCAGTCCTGAGCTTTTACTACTTCAGTCTCGTTACTTATTATAGATCTGTTTGTTATTTGTACCCTCTTGGTATTTATATTATCTTGGTTAGATTTGGGGAGATCATATGTGTCCAAGAATTTGTCTGTTTCTTCTCATTTTTCTAGTTTTTTAAAGGTTAATTTTTGATCCTCAAAAATTCAGTGGCATCCGCTGTAATGGCATCCCTTTTCATCTCTAATTTTATTCATTTGTGTCTTCTCTTTCTTTGGCTTACAGCTATTCGATCTTTTTTGTTTGTTTGTTTTCAAAGACACAACTCTTTGGTTTTTATTGTTTTCTTGTTATTTGTTTGTTGGTTGGTTTGGTTTGGGGGTGTTTGTTTGTTTGTTCGTTTTGTCTTTTTGAGACAGGGTCTCCCTGTAGTCCCAGCTGGCCTGGAACTCACTATGTAGACCAGGCTGGCCTCAAACTCACAGAGATCCACCTGCCTCTGCCTCCTGAGTGCTGGGATTAAAGGCATGCACCACTGTGCTGGGCCAAAAAAACTCATTTTTGATCTTTTAGATTTGTTAAGACTTTATGGCCTGAAAGTGATCATTCTAGAAAAGTGCCATGGTATTCTTCACATGCCGAGAAGAATGTATATTTCATAGCTGTTGGATAGAATACTCTGTTGACTCCATTTGATCTGTGGTGCAGGTTTTTTGTTTCTTTGTTGATTTTTGGTCTGTATGACTTACCAGTCAATGAAAGTAGAGTATTGAAGTCACGTGCTATTATTATATCAGAACCAATTTATCTTTTTATGTCCACTAGTGTTTGTTTTATAAAATTGGGAACACCAGCATTTGGTTTTTATATATTTACAATGGTTATATCTGTCTTTCCTCTTTTTTTGTACGAGGTATTGCCCCAAGGCCTTGTACATGTTAGGCAAGAACATTGCTGTTAAGTTACCCAGACTGACTTTGAACTCATTCTGTAGCCCAGGCAGGCCCTGAACTTGTAATCCTTCTGCCTCAACCTTTCAAGCAGCAGGATTACAAGCCTGTGCGGCAGGCCTACCCTGTTGTCTTCCTGGTGGATTGTTCCCTTTACTAATATGCAGTAACTTCTTTATCTCTTCTAATTTTGGTTTGAGTATCCTTTGTCAGGTGTCAGAATGACTGTGCCCTCTTATTTTCTGCTTCCGTTTTCTTGGTAAATTGATTTCCATCCTTTCATTCTCGGTGTGTGTCTTTGCCAGTGAAGTGGATTTCTTATGTCAGATATTTGGATCTCTATTTGTTGTTGTTGTTGTTTGGTTGGTTGTTGGTTGGTTGGTTTTTAGACAGGGTCTTCTGTAGCTCCAACTGGTCTGGAACGCCATGGCCTCGACCAGGCTGGCCTCGATCTTACAAAGATCTACCTGCCTCTGCCTCCCGAGTGTAGTGATTAAAGGTGTACACCACCATGCCTGGCTTGGATCTTAGTTTTTATTCCAGTTAACTAGTTTGTATCTTTTAGTTAGAGAGTTAACACCATTTACACCTAGAGTTATTATTGAG